CCAGAGGGACAGCAACCACACACAAGCGATATTGATGAAACGGAGCTGATTACATAGTGCAACTAGCCATATGGTCCTTTCAATGTTATGAACCCCAAAGCCAATCACAACTGGGATATCCAGAGATTGTTGCCATGATAGTTTCAGGCACTCTAGGCTAGGTAAGGTCCCTAGGAGGGCAAAATGGTTCTATTCAAATGAGTCACCTCTACATGCCTGACAGATGATGAAGAACAAGAGACCGGGATGAAGGAGAAGGAGAATGAAGAGGGAGGGAGATTCGTGCATTCCAAATGTAGGCCAATCAATTGCAATGAAAAACGCTTCAAACCTGGAAATCAATAGAAGCAATCAATGCTCTCTTTGGTTATAGAAACAACAGTGGCATGGAGTGTTGTGGCCGGCAATACAACCATTTTTTCGAACGCAACTTGAAGTCCCTATGTAGCCCGCTCAAGGTGCTCACCACTCCTCTCATGTTTATCACAAGCCTTAAACAAGTTGCTTTGTATTGAAGAATTGACATTACGAATGGTGGTTCATACAAATAATTCAAATATCTCAAATCAGAAAATGTGGAGATGCTGTTGGGAATGGAGCCCGTCAAATTGTTGTTCGAGATATCTCTGTGTTTGAAAGTAGGTAGGTTAGTAGAAGTGAAAAGATGTGACTTGAGGGCATGGCCAGAGGGTCAGCAAGCACATACAAGTGATTTTGATGAAACAGAGCCAAACATGTACTGCAACTCCCCATATGATACTTTTAATGCTGTCAAGCGCGAAGCCGTTCATGGCTGGGATATCCAGAGATTGTTGCCATGATATTTTTAGGCACTACCAGCTGGGTAAGGCCCCTAGCGAGGGCAGAATGGTTCCATTCAAGTTATTCCCATCTACATGCCTAACAGACAATAAACAACAGCAGCCCTGGATGAAGGAGAAGGCGAATGAAGAGGGACGGAGGGTTGCGCATTCAAAATGTTGGCCAATCATTGCAATAGTGTTTATTTCAACCCTGAAAATAGAAGCAATCAATGGTCCTCTTGATTGCACAAAGAACAATTATATGGGGTGTTGTGGCCGGCAACACAACGCAACCATTTATTTGATTGCAAGCTGAAGTCCCTATGTCGTCCTCTCAAGGAGGTTACCACTCCTCTCATGCTTACCATGTGGGAAAAAAACAAGTTGCTTCATAGTGAGGCATTCACAATAGACAAGGTGCTTCGTACATATTCTTGAGTGCAGTAAGCGAGGCCGAAACAAATTTCTTTGTATTGAGGCATAGACAATAGACAAGGTGCTTCGTACAAAACACAGAGATCAGTAAGTGAGGAGATGCCATATGGAATGGAGCCCGTCAAAGCGTTGTTCGAGAAATCCTTGTGCATGTAGGTAGGGAGGTCGGTAGAAGTGAAGAGATGAGTCTTGAGGGCATGGCCAGATGGACAGCTAGTAGGCATGGGCAAAAGGCCCGGTCGGGTAGGGTCAGGATTTATAATGGCCTGGCTCGTCGGGGTCGAGTCGGGGCGGCCCGGGCTAAAAACCCGACCCGATGAATTTCGGGTCGGGTCGGGTCGAGCCTCGGGCTGACTTTGAACCGACCCGGAATCGGGTCAAAAACAGGGTAGCCATGTCTGGCCTTGACCCGGCCGGATTTTGAGACTAAGAAAACCCTAAATCCATGTCAAGGGAACATTTTTTCCCTCCATATTAGTCCCGCAACCTAATATACCGTTAGAAATCTTAGTTTCTAGGCTACTAGTCGACTATATGCAGATGATCAGTGTTGAGAGACCTGTAAAGAGTGGGAGGGGAGGGGTTGGAAATTGTAGATTCAGTTCAGTAAAGGGTGGTGAGCATTGTTGAATTAATGGGAAATGTTTTTCCCACACATTTGTTGGAAACGAATGCATAGGCTGAGATATTTACACGCAAAATTCCGATCTCTAGAGTCATGCCAACGAAGTTGTTGGTTTGCGGTTATCGATGGGAGGTATCGCCGATCTGCACAGATCGACGAGAGAAATTGCCGAACTGCGAAGATCGGCGGGCCGATCTGCACAGAGCGCGGGTGAGACCTCGGGTCTGCCCGAATGAGTCAACCCTCACCCAACCTTGTGTTAGTGTTAGCCCTCAATCTCACACTTTGTATCTTGTACTTTCTATATCGTAACGTAGTGTAGTTTGCACTTTGTGTTTGGTTTGGCATACATCTACCATCCCAACCAAACCCAAATGTGATTTCCAAGCAATGTCCAACCCACCAATTGGAGATTTCTTTGGAATTACCCCCAATCCCTAAAAATTGTCCCCAATTCCCCTCCCCATCCATTCCTTGCTCATCTTGGATGTACTTCAAGAGTTTCGAGCTCATTACTAATGTATGGATTCTAAACTTAAGTTCTGACACCTCGTACCACTGGTTCAGGTCAGGGACTTCACCAGCTTGGCACGGATCTGGCCCGACCCAACCCGACCCGACCCGAGAACCGGGCTGGCCCGACCAAGTCGGGTCGGGTCGGGTCGGCCGCCTGCTCATGCCTAACATCAAGCACACACAAGCGATTTCGATGAAATATAGCTGATCAGGTAGTGCAACTATCCATACAGTTCTTTCTGTAGAAAATGAATCAGTGAACTTAAAAGCACAACCGGAAAAAGAAAGAAAAAAAGGTTGTAGCAGGAAGATGGTACAAACCTTAGAAACTAGAGCAAAACCTTGACCAATAATGAGTTCTAGTGAAATAGGAAACCACATATATACGACTGAACTCTAGGCAATTCCAATTGTGTCCACACTTCAATGTGGGAGAGTGTGGTGGAGTGTGGATGTGTCATGGTGAGCATAATGAGAAGGGAAAGTGCAGCTGCTGTGAGTTGAACCCACGAATTTCGAGTCCAAACGTGAGAAACTACTCACTGGGTCATACTTGCCGTATAACACACCCCTTCAACAATGTCCCCAGAAGAGGGACATGGGTGAGACTGAGAAAAACACGGATGCGAAGCAAAGGGTCATAGGACAAAGGCTTGGTGTCAATATCAGCGAGTTTGTCTTGGGTACGAGCATAGTGAAATGTGACGGAGTGGTCGGCAACATCATCACGAATGTAATGGTGCTTGATGTAGATGTGCTTGGCCTTGTGATGAAGAACGGCATCGTCCTTGGCGAGAATGATGGCGCTGTTGTTGTCATACGAGATTCGGGTGGGGCCGGTTGGGGGAAGTCCAAGCACAGTAAAGAGAGAACGAAACCATAACGCCTCAAGCATCGCAACGTTCAGATAATAATACTCAGCTTCACACGAAGAGGTAGTGACAAAAGCTTGGCGTTTGGACTGCCAAGAGATGAGGGGCAGACCAAAGAAGAACAAGTAGCACGTAACGGAGCATCGGAGCTCCCCCTCTGGTCCCCAAGAGGCATCACACCACCCACGAAGTTCAAGGGCGTTGGCAATGCCACCAATGAGAAGCCCAAAGAATGTAGTCCCTTTCAAGTAGAGGGCAATGCGTTTGACAGCTGACTGAGACATGAGGAGTACACTAATCGTGAAGGTGACGAGCAATAACTCTAGCACTATATGCGAGGTCCAGACGGGAACCCACAATGGCATACATGATGGATCCGACAAATGAGGTGGAAGGAACGAACGGGTGCGGGGAGGAATTCACGGGCGTCTGAAACTTGGTGTCCATGGCAGTGGCAGCGGGGTTAAGCGGAGTCAATAAGTGTCTTAGAATGGAGGTGATGAATCTGTATTAGTGAGGTGGAGAGTGTGGGAGGTCCGATCACGAGAGACGTGAAAGCCAACGTAGTAGGAGAGAGGACCAAGGTCACAAAGTTTGAAGCGAGATAAGAGGGGACGCTTGAGTGAGGCAAGAAGAGAAGAGGAGGACAAGAGAATTATGAGGTCATCAACATAGACGAGAAGCATGAAGAAGGGTGCAGCTGTAGGCCCAGAGAGAAGAGGAGCAACGAAGAGGGTCCAAACAGGCAGCAAAGAGGTGAAAGGCAGCAAGCTCCTCACGAAGTTTGTGGTACTAGCATCGCAGCGCTTGCTTCAACCTTTACAGTGGTTTGTGCAATAGTCAAACTTGCTCAACACCATGGACAGCTGTACGTTCATAACTGGGAGGTTGCATCACATAGAGTATCTCATCCAGTGTGCCGTTGAGGAAGGCGTTGGAGATGTCCAACTAGTGGACTTCCAAGTCGAAAGCGGCAGCAATGGTGAGGAACAAGCGGAGGGTGGCAAAGCAGATTGTAGAGGCAAATATGTCATGAAATTTATACCACCGCATTGCTTAAAGCATTTGACAACAAGGCAGGCCTTTTGGCATTCAATAGAGCAATCGGCATGCTCATTGGCCCTAAAAATACATGTGCATGGAATCGCCTTGCACTTGGGTGGTCGGGATTTTTTTTTTGGCTTTTGGGTGGACCCTGGAGGAAATCCGGCTTCCTTTCCCACGCCGATCCCTTGGCAGCATGTGGTAACACGAGGCATTATTGTGACCCACTCCTATCTTGTCGTTCAGGTAGGAACCCTACCAACCAAAAAACTCTTTTCCCAAGGGGATGAGAACCCTACGACAAGATGCTATACTCCCAGCTTCATGCGTGTTGCGGAGGGTAGACACTCGGGTGGCAGAGAATCCTTGGGTAGAGCGGTGCCCCGCTAAAACTCCCTACCGATCACCGAAGCGCGTGCCTCATTGCGAGAACAACCGTACCCTGGTAGGCATTGGCATTAGTGGGTGGTCGAGGATCAATGTTATAAGTATCATTAGCGTGTAGGGCAACAAGTTCCACATCAGCGACCTTGATCCATTCAGTAGCATAAGGGCCAGTGCGGGCCTCATGAATGGTTTGAGGTTCATAGTGATGATCAAGAGCAGCATTGGCGGACATCTTGGAAAAAGAAAGGGTGAAGTCAATGGGTTGCGAAGGAAAAGGCAAGACTTTGAGCAGTGAGAAAAGTGAAGGATCGGAAGGAGCTAAAGGGGATGGTGGTGAGGACCGAGTGGTGCAAAAGTGAGGACGAGATGAAGATGGAGGGGAGAGAGACGGAAGGTGAAATTCTTGAGGCGTCAAGGAAAGATGAAGGTTGGAAAACAACGGAGAAGGAGAAGAGGTGGCTGGTGTGGGCAGATTGGGGATGATGGGTGGGGGATGGTGGAGGAGGGTATGGTGGGGGAAGAAGAGGGAGCGGAGGTTGGGGCCAAGGAGGAAGGGGGAGGAGGAGGAGGCGTAAAAAATGGGTGGAGATGACTATGGGAGGTCTCGAAGGTCGTCGGAAGGTGGCGAAGAGGGCTCCATGAAGATGATATCACGAGAAAGTATGACATAGTGCGTGGATGGGAGACAGATGCGGTAAGCCTTGGCGCCGTCAAGATGACCATATCCAGCCATGATGCTAGCTATGCTTCGGTCCTCGAGCTGAGAACGCTGTAGTGAACGAATTAGGACCGAAACAGATGAACCGAACAACCCCGACTAATGGCGTGATTGCGGAGACAGGCAGCAGTGAGAGCGGTTTCACCCCACGAGCCTCAATCCATGTGTGCGTCATGAAGCATGGAACGATCATCTCAAGTAAGGTCTTATTGGCGCGTTCGGCAACTCCATTGTGTGTGGTGTAGAGCAGTGTTGAGAGATGCCATGAGCTTTAAGGATTGAAGTGAAAGCCTCGGAAGTGAGCTCCAAGGCAGGGTTGAAGCGAGATGCTTTCATGGTTCTTGGGGAAGTGAATGATGGCGCACGAGATACATTGTAGTGTGGCGGGAGTGGTCGTCGATGAAGGTGAGAAGGTAGCGAGTGTCCAATGGTACTCCATATAATAGCGTCCAGCAATAGACGCGCCGCAAGTCGTCGGCGACTAGGGAGAAACTGCGCGTCATCGTCGTCCTCCGCCTCGTCTCCCTCCTCCTCCTCCGCAACGGGGGCAAGTGGGGTCGGCCGTGGAGCAAGCTCTGTAGCCCGGGCCTGGTACTCGGCCACGCGGTCGCGCACCAGTTTGATCACCTCGCCAGACGCCGGATGCGGCCTCACCCTCCTGTCGGTCTCGGGATGCAGCTTCTCCCAGTGCGCGTCGTCGAACCACGCCGCCTTCATGGAAGGGTCCAAGAAGGTGGCGATCCAGTACTCGTTGCTGGTGATGTAGGCGTACTTCTTCAAGTGGCTCAGCGCCGCCACGATCATCGGCTGCAGCGTCGGAGATGGCCCCTTGGCAAGGCGCGACTCCATGGCGTCGATCAGGCCGTTGTTGTACGGCAGCACCATCGACACAGTCGGGTACGCCGCCCCCTCTGCTGCCTTGGAGACCTTGGCGAAGGGGCTTAGGAATGTCTTCACCGCCTGCAGGGTCTCCCAGTCTGCGTCTGTCAGGCGCAAACTTTCCACCTTCTTCTTGTCGGTCTTCGACAAGCCCTGTCGGGTAGAGGGAATGGTTTGGGGGGAGGTATGAGGGAAACTGTGATTATGGAGGAGGATTATGGCATCCGGCCGGCAACATACAAGCATGACCAACAGTATTGTGTAGACGTGTTAACACACCACACCATGACATAACCACACACTACAACCCATACAAAACACAAGTGTTACCTGTGTCTGGGCGAAGAAGACAGTGATGGGGTTCTGCAGAACAGCCGCACGCTCGACCATGTCGTGGGTCGACCCCCAGCGCGTAGGACTGTCCTGCACCAGCTTCAACGCCGGCTTCGGCGTGGCGGGGTTGGCCTGCGAGTTCAAGGTCCGCTGTAGGCCCAAGAAAGACCCCGAGCGCTGTGGAGAGAAGCCAATCCACGACGCCATCTCTCTCAGTATCTTCAGCAACTTCCGTATGGAATCCACAGCCAGTGCTGCCTACACTGCAAGGTTTATCACGTGTGCCAAGCACCTGCGCTCGGAACACAACATTAGGGAAAGAGAAAAGGGGAAGTTGGAGGACACATGGTTAGAGCGAGCCACAAAACCTACAACTCGAACCGCACCGGCCCACCCCTCCATACAACTACAAATTGTCCATGATGGAACGACACACCCACGTTGGCAAACACACGCCCACACTCCCGCACACCCAACCCACGCACACTCCCACACTCACCGGAAGTGCATGCGCGAGTTGAAGAAGCACTGACCACCACCCTCCTCCGACATCCGCCTGAAGGCGGCAATGTTGCTAGAGGCGTTGTCTATCGTGAAACCAAGACAACGCCCCTCCAACCCCCACTGCACAATCGTCTCCTCAACCACCTGCGCCATCTCCCTGCCCCCATGCCGCCCGAGCATCTCACGGAACTCAAGCACCAATGTGCGCAGCTGGAAGTTCTCGTCTATCCAGTGACCTGTCACCACTAGCCATGCCTTGTTGTTGGGTGCCGTCCACATGTCGATGGTGATCGACACCTTGCACCCCAACTCCCCCTCCTTCGCCAGCATCTCCGCAATGGCGGACTGGAGAGCTACTGTTGCATAGACCACGGTGTCGCGGGATACCGTCCAGCGCGAGGGGATGAAGTTCTTCTGCGCGCAGTTGCGGTTTAGCAGGATCAATAGCTCCCGAAACTGGAGGAGGGTAGAGTAGAGACAACGAGGGAGAGGGTTTTCAATATCAAAGGGATGGTTTTGAGACAAAGTGGCACACGATTACAATAGAAGCATCAAATTGTCAACCACATACTGCCAAAACACCAAGCATGGGACACTCACGGCCTCGGACTCGACGATGCGGAAGGGGAGGTCGCAGGTGACCACCAGCTTGGCGATCGCCTGCCGTAGCTCCTCCGTAGACAGCTTGGTTTCGCCGTCACAGGTGACGAGTTTCGCCACAAACTCGTCCGAGCTGGCCAAAAACGACAAGTCAAGAGCATGCATAAACTAGAAAATCGCTCGTCAGAGCTTTGCTCGACTCGGGGCAAAAAATCGGCAAGCAAGACCATGGAGGAGTCGAGTTTTGGTCGACTCGTCAGTTTGACCATGTATATGCATAGACAGTAGACAAGGTGCTTCGTTCAGAGAAATTAGTTCCCGCCAAGCATGCTAAGGGTAGCAATCCCTCGGATTGCAGCGATGGTGAGAGTGGGGAGGAGGAAGAGGAGGAGGAGGAGGAGGAGGAGGAGGAGGAGGAGGAGGAGGAGGAGGAGGAGAAGGAGATTTCGTAGGAGGAGGAGGAGGGACTAGGAGCAAATTTAACCTATAGGTAGTACTGTCAAACATATATGCTTAGTTATATCTAGGCTTAGTTCATGTGTTTACATTTGTCTAGGCTATAGTGGGTTTAGCCTTAGGGGGTACAGAATTCTCTCGACATTCTACTTGTACCCTTCCTTGTTTCCTAGTCAAGCATTCTCACCTAAGATTCTAACATGGTATTAAGAGCAACTAAGTCTTAGGACCTAGTCTCAATGGGCCCACCACCTACTGCACTGCCCGTACCTAGCCCGTCGATTTCGTCGCCCGCGCCCGGCCCGTACCTAGCCCGTCGCCCGGCCCGTACCTAACTCGTCGCCTCGGCCCCGCTGGCCCCGTCGACTTAGTCGCCCGCGCCCGGCCCGTACCTAGCTCGTCGCCAGGCCCGTACGTAGCCCGTCGCCTCGGCCCCACTGGCCCCGTCGTCTTCGTCGCCCGCGCCCGGCCCGTACCTAGCGCGTCGCCCGGCCCGTACCTAGCCCGTCGCCCGGCCAGTACCTAGCCCGTCGCCCGGCCCGTACCTAGCCCGTCGCCCGGCCCGTACCCAGCCCGTCGCCTCGGCCCCGCTGGCCCCTTAAACTTCGACGCCCGCGCTCGGCCCGTACCTAGCCCGCGCCCGGCCTCGTCTCCTGCCTGCGTCCGGCCCGTACCTAGCCCGTCGCCCGGCCCGTACCAAGCCCGCGCCTGGCCCCGTACCTAGCCCCGCGCCCGGCCCCATTCCGCGCCCAGCGCCCGGCCCCGTACCTGCCCAGCGCCCGGTCCAGTACCTGCCCAGCGCCTGGCCCCGTACCTGCCCAGCGCCCGGCCCAGTCCCTGCCCAGCGCCTGGCCCCCTTGTTTGGCCCCGCGGCCCCTAGGCCCCTCGGCCCCACCTCAGAGCCTGGAGTCCGGCCCCCCCGGCCCCTACTTGGCCCCTCGGCCCCCTAGGCCCTTTTTTTGGCCCCTCGGCCCCCTAGGCCCCTCGGCCCCCCCCAAGGCCCCCCCCGGCCCCTTGTTTGGCCCCGCGGCCCCTAGGCCCCTCGGCCCCACCTCAGAGCCTGGCGCCCGGCCCCCCGGCCCCTATTTGGCCCCTCGGCCCCCTAGGCCCCTTGTTTGGCCCCTCGGCCCCCTAAGGCCCTCGGCCCCACCTCAGAGCCTGGCGCCCGGCCCCCCGGCCCCTTCTTTGGCCCCTCGGCCCCCTAGGCCCCTCGGCCCCCCCAAGGCCCCCCCGGCCCCTTGTTTGGCCCCGCGGCCCCTAGGCCCCTCGGCCCCACCTCAGAGTCTGGCGCCCGGCCCCCCCCGGCCCCTACTTGGCACCTCGGCCCCCCTAGGCCCCTTGTTTGGCCCCTCGGCCCCCTAGGCCCCTCGGCCCCCCCAAGGCCCCCCCGGCCCGTTGTTTGGCCCCGCGGCCCCTAGGCCCCTCGGCCCCACCTCAGAGCCTGGCACCCGGCCCCCCGGCCCCTACTTGGCCCCTCGGCCCCCTAGGCCCCTTGTTTGGCCCCTCGGCCCCCTAGGCCCCTCGGCCCCACCTCAGAGCCTGGCGCCCGGCCCCTCGGCCCCTTCTTTGGCCCCTCGGCCCCCTAGGCCCATCGGCCCCCCCAAGGCCACCCCGGCCCCTTGTTTGGCCCCGCGGCCCCTAGGCCCCTCGGCCCCACCTCGGAACCTGGCGCCCGGCCCCCCCGGCCCCTACTTGGCACCTCGGCCCCCCTAGGCCCCTTGTTTGGCCCCTCGGCCCCCTAGGCCCCTCGGCCCCCCCAAGGCCCCCCCGGCCCGTTGTTTGGCCCCGCGGCCCCTAGGCCCCTCGGCCCCACCTCAGAGCCTGGCGCCCGGCCCCCCGGCCCCTACTTGGCCCCTCGGCCCCCTAGGCCCCTTGTTTGGCCCCTCGGCCCCCTAGGCCCCTCGGCCCCACCTCAGAGCCTGGCGCCCGGCCCCCCGGCCCCTACTTGGCCCCTCGGCCCCCTAGGACCCTTGTTTGGCCCCTCGGCCCCCTAGGCCCCTCGGCCCCACCTCAGAGCCTGGCGCCCGGCCCCCCGGCCCCTACTTGGCCCCTCGGCCCCCTAGGCCCCTTGTTTGGCCCCTCGGCCCCCTAGGCCCCTCGGCCCCCCCAAGGCCCCCCCGGCCCCTTGTTTGGCCCCGCGGCCCCTAGGCCCCTCGGCCCCACCTCAGAGCCTGGCGCCCGGCCCCCCGGCCCCTACTTGGCACCTCGGCCCCCTAGGCCCCTTGTTTGGCCCCTCGGCCCCCTAGGCCCCTCGCCCCCCCCCCAAGGCCCCCAGGCCCCTTGTTTGGCCCCGCGGCCCCTAGGCCCCTCGGGCCCACCTCAGAGCCTGGCGCCCCCCCCCCCGGCCCCTACTTGGCCCCTCGGCCCCCTAGGCCCCTTGTTTGGCCCCTCGGCCCCCTAGGCCCCTCGGCCACCTCTAGGCCCCCCGGCCCCCTGTTTGGCCCCGCGGCCCCTAGGCCACTCGGCCCCACCTCAGAGACCGGCACCCGCCCCCCCCCCCGGCCCCTTGTTTGGCCCCTCGGCCCCCTAGGCCCCTCGGCCCCTTGTTTGGCCCCGCGGCCCCCAGGCTCCTCTGCCCCTATGGCGTTGCTTCGGGTTCTCCCGTTCGACCCGGAGGGCAGACCTGTAGCATTTGACACGTGGCACGACGATCTGCAACTGTACCTACTGAGCGACAGTCGGGACAGTGTCTCGCTGTTTGACCTCGTGTCCGGTGCCGCTCCAGCCCCTCCCGCCACAGCTGACGTTTCGACTCGTTCCCAGTGGCTCTCTCGTGACGCTACTGCCCGCTTGGCCATTCGCAACCACCTGCCCGCAACAGAATGTGCTCACTTTGGCGAGCACAGGACAGCACAGGCCTTGTACGACGCTGTCGTTGCTCGCTACTCCTCCCCTGCCACTGCTGCTCTTGGCAGACTGCTACTGCCCTACCTGTTCCCTGAGCTGTCGGCTTTTGCCACAGTAGCGGACCTGGTTACCCACCTGCGCACTAGCGACGCTCACTACCGCGCTACCGTTCCTGCTGAGTTCCTTCTCACGAACCAGCCCCCCATGTTCATCACCCTCTACTTCATTGTCACTCGCCTCCCTGACTCCCTTCGCTCTGTCAGGGACCACTTCCTCACCCTCGACCCCACTTCCCTCACTATTGACCTCCTCGAGCAGCATCTCCTCGCAGCTGAGACTAGTGCAGTTGCTGTAGGTGCTGCTCGTGGCACCCCGCGCTCACCCTTCTTTGAGGGGTGCTCCCCCTCCCCCCTTTCCTCCTCCTTCGCCTCTGCTGCTGCTGCAGACGTCTCTGTTCCTGAGGACGTCGGGGCTGCTTCGACTAGTACGAAGCGCCGCAACAGCAAGGGCAAGGGTGTCCGAGGTAGTGGAGGAGGCAGCGGTGGTGGTGGAGGTGGCAGTGGGCGTGGCAGTGGGGGCAGCGGTAGAGGAGGCGGAGGCGGTGGAGGTGGTGGCGGCGGTGGGACCGGTGGCGGCGGTGGAGGCTCTGGTGGCGGCGGTGGAGGCAGCGGAGGGGGTGGCGGCAGTGGAGGCGGTGGGACCAGTGGTAGTCGGTCTGGACCTCAGCGTGGAGGCCCTGGTGGCGGTCGGGGCCAGCAGCAGCAGCGTCGGAGCGAGACTCAGACGCCTCAGCAGCTCCGTGAGTGGTTGGTTCAGCGTGGGGCGGGCGAGGGTAGTGAGACTTGCCCGTATGTCATTCGCACGGGTCCCCGTGCGGGCAAGACATGCGGGCGGTTTCACACTGAGCGCCGCTGCTTTTCCCGCCTTGACGACGCCTGGCGCACTGAGTTTGGTGATGACGTCGAGCGCCCTCGCTGGGCGGAGTTGTTTAGGTCGGGAGTTGCCATCTTTGACCTAGACTTTGATGTTATTATCTCTGCCATGTATGCTTTGTCTTTTAGTGCTGAGGGTGACTGTTACTGGTGCGTGCCGCCTGACCCAGGTATAGCCGCTGCTGCTCTAGGTGCTAGTGCGTCTGGTACTCCCCCTGGTACTGCGCCTGCTGAGGCCCTGCACACCTTCACGTTAGACTCCGGCGCCTCGCGCTGTTTCTTTCGTGACAGCACCACTCTCACTCCTCTTCCTGCACCTGTTCCGGTCAGACTGGCTGACCCCTCTGGGGGCCCGGTCGTTGCCAGTTCCTCCACTGTCCTCCCGTGTCCGGCGGTTCCGTCCGGCTCTCTGTCAGGTCTTCACCTCCCCTCGTTCTCTACGAACTTGGTGAGTACCGCTGCCCTTCAGGATGCGATGGTCACTACCACCAATCCTGGGGGTCAGCGTGTGTCGATCTGCACGTGCACGCAGACGGGGCGTCACCTGGCTACGTTCCCTCGTCGGCCAGGGTCGAGTCTGTACACACTGGCTACCAAGCCTCCTCAGGTCGCTGCGTCTGCTCAGGTGTCCACGTCAGGTCAGGTAGCCGCCGCTTTCTCGTGTCGCCTCCTGTCGCACCAGACTCTTCTTTGGAACCACCGCCTGGGTCACCCCTCCCTGCCACGCCTTCGTGGCATGCACTCCCGTCTCCTTGTCTCTGGTCTCCCCATGTCTCTGCCTCCCCTGCCGCCCTCGCCTGCCCCGCCCTGTCTTCCTTGCGTCGAGGGGCGGCAGCGCGCCGCTCCTCACTCCTCCTCGTTTCCCCCGATGACTGCTCCCCTGCAGACCCTCCACATGGACGTGTGGGGCCCAGCCCGCGTCAGTGGACAGGGCCGCAAGCGCTACTTCCTGCTGGTGGTTGACGACTACACGCGATACACCACAGTCTTCCCCTTGCGCAGCAAGGGTGAAGTCTCTGCTGTCTTGATCCCTTGGATCCGCACAGTCCGTCTCCAGCTGCGTGCGCGTTTCGGCCAGGACCTTCCTGTCCTGCGTCTGCACTCTAACAGAGGTGGTGAGTTCTCCTCCGACCTCTTGCGGGACTTTTGTCGTGGGGAGGGCATCACCCAGTCGTTCACGCTTCCGGACTCCCCTCAGCAAAATGGGATTGCTGAGCGCCGCATTGGCTTAGTCATGGAGGTCGCTCGTACCTCCATGATTCATGCGGCCGCTCCCCATTTTCTGTGGCCGTTTGCGGTCCGGTACGCTGCGCATCAGCTCAACCTCTGGCCCCGTGTCTCCTTGCCAGAGACCTCGCCCACACTGCGTTGGACGGGGAATGTTGGCGATGCGTCGGTGTTCCGGGTCTGGGGTTCTCGTGCCTTTGTTCGCGATACGTCCGCGGACAAGCTCTCCGCCCGCGCTATTCCCTGCGTCTTCCTTGGCTTTGTCCCTGATGCACCTGGCTGGCAGTTTTACCACCCCGCCTCGCGCCGTGTCCTCCCTTCTGAGGACGTCACGTTCGACGAGCCGGTTCCCTTCTACCGTCTTTTCCCCTACCGCTCTGCCCCTTCCCCGCCCCCGCCGCTTTTTCTTGCTCCCGGTCCGCCTCCGGTAGACCCCCTCCCGCCCCAGGGTCCTGCTCCCTCGGGAGTGTCTCAGGTAGACCCTCTCCCTGGTATTGTGCCTGTTCAGGTAGCTGTCGTCTCAGGTGCAGCTCCAGGTGCTGCGTCTGGGGGTGCTGCGTCTGGGGGTGCGGAGCCGGGGGGTGCGAGGTCTGAGGGTGCTGTGTCTGGGGGTGCTGAGCCTGAGGGTGTTGAGTCTGGGGGTGCTGATCCTCGGGGTGCTGCTTCGTCTGGAGGTCCTGCTGGTGCTTCACCAAGACTGTCCTCGCAGCAACTGCGTGAGTGGCTTGTTCAGCGCGCACACCGTCGGAGTGGGGCTCCCGGAGCTGGCGGCCCTGGAGGCGCTGGAGCTGGAGGTGCTGCTGTTACTACTGGAGTTGGAGACCCTACGGAGCCTGGAGCAGCTGGCGCTGGAGGCGCTGGAGCTGGAGTAGCTGGAGTTGGAGGCCCTGGCGCAGGAGGCGCTGGAGCTGCAGGAGCTGGAGTTGTTGACCCTGGTGCTGGAGGTGTAGGAGGCACTGTGCGGCCGCGTCCGTACTTCGTTCCCCTGCTTGAGCAGGTTCTTGGTGTCCCGTCTTCTACTGGTCTTCCTCCTCCCTTCCTGTGTCCACCGCCTGACCAGTCGCAGCCGCAGTTACAGCCAGCCTCCCCACTGCCTGTTCCCTCTCCTTACACTGCGCAGTCCGGAGGTCTTACAGAGCGTTGTGAGCCTGCGTCTCGTTCTGTCTCACCTGTTCGCACTGCTCGTCGCGCTCCTCGTTCGCGTCCTCCCCCTGTCCCAGGCACGCACACCATGGCACTCCGTCCTTCCTCTGTTCCACTGCGTGTTCCTCTGCCTGCTCCTCCTGAGTCCTCTCTTTCTGAGGTCCCTGACCCTGAGTCTGACCGAGCGCGTGCTGCCAGTCCCACTGTCGCTCGTCTCCTTGCCACTGCTGTCACTGACTCGTCCTTTGAGTCTGCTGCTGCTTCTGCTCTTGTTGCTGAGCTACTTGACTTTGCTGCTGCCTGCCGTCTCGACTACGCCTCTGCTCTAGTTGCTGAGTCTGTGCCTGTCAGTCCTCCGTCCGTCGGGGGTGAGTGTGCTCTTGGCACGGACGTCCTTGAGGACAGGCAGGAGGACTTTGAGTGTCTTGCAGCTGCTGTACCTCGTTTCGCCTCCTTGCTGCTTGCCCCTGAGGGAGACCCGGATGCTCATGACATCCCGACCCCGCGCTCTTACGCAGAGGCGATTACGGGTCCTTACTCCTCTCAGTGGCAGGCAGCTATGGATGCCGAGATGGCATCCTGGAAGTCCACAGGCACTTATGTCAACGAGGTTACCCCACCTGGGGTGAACATAGTCGATGGCATGTGGACCTTCAGGGTGAAGCGGCCGCCGGGTTCTCCGCCTGCCTTCAAGGCACGTTACGTTGCTCGAGGTTTCAGTCAGCGACAGGGAGTTGACTACTTCCAGACCTTCTCCCCCACCCCGAAGATGACTACTCTTCGGGTGTTGCTGCACGTAGCTGCTCAGCGTGACTACGAGTTACACTCCCTGGACTTCAGTACTGCCTTCCTGCAGGGCAGCCTGCACGAGGAGATCTGGCTGCGCCGACCACCTGGTTTCACTGGGTCGTTTCCTACAGGTACCCAGTGGAGCCTCCGCCGGCCAGTCTACGGTCTCCACCAGGCGCCTCGCGAGTGGCACGACACACTCAGGACTACACTTGCGGCTCTTGGGTTTGTTCCTTCTACAGCAGACCCGTCGCTGTTTCTACTCACCGACACCTCGCTGCCGCCCTTCTACGTCCTAGTGTACGTCGACGACCTCGTCTTTGCCACGGCTGACACTGAGGCACTTACCCTAGTGAAGTCCGAGCTGCAGAAGAGACATACCTGCACTGACCTGGGTGAACTGCGCAGCTACCTTGGCCTGCAGATCACCCGGGACAGAGCACGGCGCACCATCACACTGACTCAGTCACACATGGTGCACCAGGTCCTTCAGCGCTTCGGCTTCCAGTACTCCTCGCCACAGCTCACTCCTCTGTCTACCAGCCACTCGCTCTCAGCTCCACCTTCGGACGAGTCCGTAGAGCCGAGTGGTCCATACCCAGAGCTTGTGGGTTGCCTCATGTACCTGATGACTTGCACACGACCCGACCTCGCGTACCCTCTCAGCCTTCTGGCTCGCTACGTGGCTCCCGGTAGGCACCGAAAGGTGCACTGGGATGCTGCGAAGAGGGTACTGCGTTACCTGTGTAATACGTCGGGCATGGGGCTTGTGCTTGGAGGACGGGGTCCTGTTGTCCTCACTGGTCACGCAGCTACGCAGCGGTCGTCGCAGGGTTACACCTTCAGCCTTGGGTCCAGCTCGGTTTCTTGGCGGTCTACCCGCTCGTCTTCAGTTCTCAGCTCCAGCTGTGAGGCTGAGATCTACGCCGGAGCCATGGCTGCTCAGGAGCTACGCTGGCTCACCTACTTGCTGACCGACTTGGGAGAGCAGCCTCGTTCGCCTCCAGTCCTGTACGTAGACAACAAGGCCATGATAGCCTTGTGTCAGGAGCACAGACTGGAGCACAGAACGAAGCACATCGCTCTGCGATACTTCCTCGCTCGAGAGTTGCAGCAGCGTGGTCAGCTTCGTCTAGCGTACGTGGCCATTCGGGCCAACACTGCTGATATCTTCACCAAGGCACTTCGGCCTGGTGACCATCAGCGCTTTGTTACTGTGTTAGGCCTTGTGTCTACTTTGCCTCAGTTACTTACTGCCTGACTCTGCCTGTACTGTGATCTATCTATATACCTGCATGCTTGTACTTGTTAGGGTATGATCACTGTATTGTTTGTTCTCTGTATATAACTCTGCATGTGAACTGGCCTTGTGGCCCTTTGCTTGTGCTCGGACTGTGTGGTGACTTTGTGATCCACCCTGAGCTTGCTTTGCTTTTCTTGACTGGTCTTGTAACCATTACTTGTTCTGGCTATCCCCCACTTCGCCTATGGGGGTGTGTCAAACATATATGCTTAGTTATATCTAGGCTTAGTTCATGTGTTTACATTTGTCTAGGCTATAGTGGGTTTAGCCTTAGGGGGTACAGAATTCTCTCGACATTCTACTTGTACCCTTCCTTGTTTCCTAGTCAAGCATTCTCACCTAATATTCTAACAAGTACTAGGTAGGCACAGCAAGGGTAGTGTAGTGGTCCATTGTAGGCTTGTTTGTCTTTGGTTTCGTATGTTCTTGCCTTCCAGGTCATCGTTGTAACCTTTTTAGAAGTTTCAGAAAACAAATTCGCTGCAAAAAAAAAGAAGACAAAAAAACAACTAGAACAAAAACGGCCATATTTTTGCCAAAATCACCATAAAATACCACCGTAAAAAAACGGCCCGTATTCTACGATGACCGTATTTTTTAACCTTGCCGGCAACACAGCCATCCCTTTGGACGCAAGCAAAGCAGCCTGCTCAAGGTGCTTACCACTCCTCTCACACTTAGCATGATGCCAAAACAAATTGCTTCGTATTGACGCATAAACAATAGACAAGGTGCATCGTATAGATAAAACAGAGCAGCAAGCGACGAAATGTTGTTGGGAATGGAGCCCATCAAAACGTTGTTCGAGAGAAACAGATGAACGACTAGGTGCTTGGTACAGATCAACGATCTTAGTAAGCGAGGAGATGCTGTTGGGAATGGAGCCTGTCAAAGCGTTGTTCGAGAGATCCCTGCGTGTGTGGGTAGGTGGGTCGGTAGCAGTGAGGAGATGAGGCTTGTGGGCATGGCCAAAGCGACAGCAAGCACACACAAGCGACCCAAAGAGGTGATGAGACTGGATGGTTGGGACACATTTTCTGAGGCACATAGGAGAGCGATCTAGGGAGGGATTGGGAAAATCAGCACAGATTTCGCTGCTGGAGGGGAGGGAGAAAGTGGGGCCCAATAGGGTAGAGAAGATGAGGGAATGTGGAGAACACGGACGAGGATGTGACTGGGGGAATGCTGGGGTGGATGCTGGGAGATGTCATCTTGCCTCGTTCACATAAGCATTTACCGAATCAGAAGTGGGACAGACAGAAAGATGCACATTTTGTAGCGGGTGGAAGGTGGAAAGAGAGCACTAGAGACACAAGGATGATGGGCAAGCGTGAGAGCAATGGCACATGTACGATCCTGAAACAGGACCACAAACACTGCAACACCCATATTTCGAGCGAATCATGTACTTACAGCATCACCCTATCTCAACTTACAGGTACTCCAATGAAGCGAGGCTTCCATTCCCAGCTGGAATAGGCCCATTGAGCTCACAAAACGACAACGATCTGGTTTCACATGACGGAAAGTGGTTGTGCGTTGCATGTGCTTGTATGGAACAGTAAACACAGTGATATAACGTTGTATCAAATGGAAGACAATGCGTGGAGCAGTGTTTGTAACGAGTACAAACGCTTGCTTCCACCTTGTAGCACTGTAAGCGTGTGGGAGGCAAAACATTGAGCAAAGATTGAGGCATGCCACCATCGCATTGCCACTGCCTTTACTGCATTTCTGGCAGTTATCATTTACAAACGTACCATTTACCTCCACTACTATAGCTTCCTATGCCAGGGAAGGGGAGGGGAAAAAGGGGAGAGGGGGAAGGAGGAGGAGGAGGAGGAGGAGGAGGAGGAGGAGGAGGAGGAGGAGGAGGAGGAGGAGGAGGAGGAGGATGAGGAGGAGGAGGAGGAGGAGGAGGAGGAGGAGGAGGAGGAGGAGGAGGAGGGGGAGGAGGAGGAGGAGGAGGAGGAGGAGGAGGAGGAGGAGGGGGAGGAGGAGGAGGAGGAGGAGGAGGAGGAGGAGGGGGAGGAGGAGGAGGAGGAGGAGGAGGAGGAGGAGGGGGAGGAGGAGGAGGAGGAGGAGGAGGAGGAGGAGGGGGAGGAGGAGGAGGAACATGTTACGGTTGTGGCTGGGAAGAGCAGGGCAGCACCTTCCTTACCCCCTTACCTCCTCTCCTCCTCCCACCCCCTCCTCCTCCTGCCTGCCAGAACGTCATTTCTTTTCAACAGGGTTGCGTCCAACGTAAAAAACGCAGGCTCCGTCAAATCCATCTACGGACGGCCTGGACTTTAGATAAGCACAAACATATGTGCATGAAGAAAAGCAAGATTGTCGTTTCATGCGAGATTCTTACAGTCTCGTAAGTGAAGTGAGCGAGGAGATGCTTTCAGGAATAGACCCTCCAAGAGATATGTCGTCCACATAGTATCTAGAAACTGTGTCGGCCAAAGTTCTATGTGGGTGGGTGGGTGGATTAAAAGAAGATAGAAGAAACAAAGTGGTCACAATTGACGCAAGGATTGGAACAAGTGGTATCAAACATAGCAGTCCTGTTGGAGATCAGTGGCATGGTATGAGATCCAGGGAAAAGCAGACATACACTCACATGTCGATGATCATGCCTGAACTGTCACACAAGAGACCTTCAGCACTGCCACAGTCAGCACCAACTTCCCAGTTTACGAACGTCTGGCCCCACAGCTTTTGACTGTCTCTAAGAAATACCACTGGCAGGGACAAGCAAGGAGAGAGACGAAGGGAGGCACAAGGTAGTGAGCAGGTACAAGCACCCAGCAGGTGCATTTGCTTTGTTACTGAGATGTACAAGACTGCTTGCACATATTATGGATAAACAAGAACATCTTTCGCATGATGAGAGGCTCATCTAACAGCTGTGAGGCTGGAAGAAGTGAGGCAAGAAAAGAAATGCATCGCAGCAGTGCAAACCACATGCCGATTGCCACTAGTAGTAGCATACTCCGTGCTGCCTCTCCTGTGAACTGAGATACGTGCTAGTACGGGGAGGGGAGGAACTTGAGAAGCACTGGTCGGTATCACCTACACCTGTACTGGCGGGCTGCTGCCGACATATCGTTGGAAGCCGAGAAGTAAATGAACCACGAGACTCGTGCAGAAGTGAAGGAGGTACTAGCATTGGTTACCAGGGAAAGAGCTTTGCCCCTAATACTGTTTATTTTTGGGGGGTAGTACCAACTTGTAGGAGCACCGTGAGACGAACTGAGGGAGCACGGAGTTACTAGTACTGAAACAGGGCTACGGCGCGCAGCCACGCACGGCGCGGGTGGCCTGGCCCGCCATGGGGAAGAGAGAGCGGCGCCCCGTAGCTAGAAGAAGAAGTTAACTTGTCACGCAGCGGAAGACAGAGAAGCTAGGCTAAGCTGGGAGAGACGCCTAGCTTCAAGAGACGAGAGAGTTGAGGAGAAGAGAATCAAGATAGATGAAAGGATTCTCGGATTAGAATAGGAGATCCGGATGATACAACAAGATTCAGAGAAGTATATTTATGCTAGGAGAAGAGAAGCGCGGCTCGTAAGGAAAGCCCGCGTCGTCAAGCTTTCAGCATGCCATCTTGGCATAGCGCCTCGATGCCATGCCTTACTGAATTTTAGTAACTTCTAATCACTGACGAGGATAAGAGAGTAAGCTCCGAAGTTGGTACATAGCTCTATTCGGAGCTATCTAGGTAAGGGGAGTTCCAACTCTTTGGGTATTCCCATGCGCGCTTGGAATCAGGAATCCCAACTTGTAACAAGTACCTTGAGAGGCGTTGATAGGCTGTGCATCGCACGGTGCGAAGACGAACGCGGCAGCCCAAAACACGGCGGCAAGCGCAAGCCATGCTCGTGGCTGCAACAGAGTTGGGTTTGGCGGCGGCATTTGCGGTGTCGACGTGCCTCCACAGTCTCTCTAAGGTTTACACCACAAATTACCTATAGTCGTATTGTGGAACGTTAACTTCTACTCCAAGTCAAATGCGGAGTGGGTTGAGAAAGTGAGTTGCCTCGTCAAGAAAATGTGTTGCCACTAACGATGACGCATGGGGAAGAAGTCTCGGAGGAGGAAGAAAAGGGGTGGGCCGTCGCTGCACGCGCAGCTCAATTTTACTCTGTGAGTCGCGACTTGGTCCCTAGGAACCTGGAAACACTGTATCAGATCCAGACGATGGGGGCGCTCAGCCTGAGCGCGTGGAATCATGATTACATTAGTCCTGAGGAACCTTCCATGCTTCCAGCATGCAAACTCTTGACTTGAGGGAGGGATCAGTTGCATCCTGCTACAATATTACTGAGCAATCATAAAAGGATTCCAGCGTGGATTTTGCAACTTTGGCACAACGAACGGGGCAACTTGTCTACATGACACAACTGCGTCAGCTTGGTAGTCTGCCTCTCTTTGCTGACTAGGTTTAGAAAGCGGTTTGGGGGAGGAGGGGAAGGGGGGTAGAGTCGTTGGCAAATTTGGTTCAGGTTGGAAACTGGACCGTCGATGAGAACTCCTGGGAACGGTGAAGATTATACCTTAGATGTTGTTTCCAGGTTGGAATGACAACCGTCGAAGGAATCAGCTCTACGATCAAGATTGATCGTAAAACGGTTTCAGCAAATTTGAAATCTGGCATTCCAGCCGTCGATATGTCAGATTTAATGGCTACGATCAGAAGTGACGTGTGTTTGTTTGCAATTTCAGCCGTCGATGTCTGAGATACCGAGATCATCATCGAGACCCTCTTTCATAGGCTTCGAACCACTCGGATTTCAGGCGCGGCTGAGCTGAACCAAGCTCACCAATTTTCATTTCCTCGGAACTGCTATACGCAGACTGACATCCTGCTAGCTGTTTGGACGACTCACAATTCCTCCTATCGCTATCTGCGTGCGACGGTACCAGACTGCGACGCGACCTATAAGCGACGCTACCCGTATGCGACGCGACCTATGATCGACGCTAGTTGTGTGCATCGCTACCCGTATGCAACGCCACCATTGGATTGCGCTGCCTGATCCCAACAGCCATCCGCACCGTCAGATGATGCCGCCTGATTCCAAGGATTGATCCGCGCCGTTGGATGGTTCGCACGTTTACGATCATTAGTGGTGCGAAAAGGATACTGGCATTCCGATAGCCGTTTTGACGCGTGCCACACTGCGTGCGACGCTATCCGCGTGCGAAGCTCTTTGCGTGCGTCGCTCTCTGCGCGCGTCGATATACGCGTGCGACGCTATCTGTGTGCGACGCTATCTGTGTGCATCTCTATCCGCGACGCTGCTTGTGTGCATCGCTACCCGTATTCGACTCCACACCTGGATTACGCTGCTTGATTCCATGGGTCCAAGCTCACCGTTGGATGATCCTGCCTGATACCAAGGATTGATCCGCGCCGTCGGATGGGTCGCGCGTTTACGAGCATTCGTGGCGCCAAGCAGACTCGCGGCGGAACCGGCGGAGCTCCGTCAGAATCAGCTGGAAGCGAGAGGGGAGGGGAATACGCGTTAGAGGAGATTCTCTATGCTGCGTTTACGGCTGATGGCAGGTTAGTGCATGCAGAGGCACGGCCGTACGTACGTACGGTCTCTGCAGGCGTCTCGCAACCCCTTGCCACATCTTCACTCTGTGCCGGTAGTCTCATCACCCAACTGAACACTCCCTTTTTGCTCCCTCACCCATTTCCATCTCTCCCCTCTTACACCACTCCCCTCTTCTCTCTCCTGCCCCTCTCCACCCTCCCCATTTCCGTTCTCCACCATTTCGCTGTGATTTTCCTTGGGTGCAGCCACCTGGCAGTGGCCACGTCAGCAGGTTTCGAGATATTCCGCGGTGCTGACGTGGCGCAGCCCGTCGTGAGCCACGTGGGCGTGGGTCCGATAAGGATCGTGTGGCTCACCCTCATCGCGCCACGTGGCGCAACGTCATTGGTTGCATTTGTTGGCACGGGAGACACGGTATCTCCCCCCTCTCCTCCCCCTTCTTCTCCCGTTTCCACCTCCCCCTTGTTTGAAAATTCGCACAAGTCCCTCCTCACCTTTTCTCCCGCCCCCCCCCTTCCCCTCTTCACCCGCACCTTTTCTCTAGCAATCTCTGAAGGCCCGTGAGAACTTGTTTTTTTTAATCTCTCAGAAGCTGAAGTTTGCTGGCTCATTGCTGTGTTGCTGTTTGTGCGACCGAGTCAGTCAGTCAGTCAGCATATCTCCTTTGCTATTTTCAATCACTGACCCTAGACCTAGACCTATACCGGCACTTTACGGCTACTTCGGCGAATCTACTTTGCCTTTTGTATTCCTTCACCAATTATCCTGGGCCTATAGACCTATCACTGCCCTGCTACAAGGTTGGCAAGCTGGCATGGCTGTTCGTCATACATCCATCGCCCATCCCTCCACCCCACTCTGCCATATCCCGCTCCAGCTGCACCTGTCCCTTCGAGGGCTGCACCTAGTTTCCATCGCTCGTCATCCCCCTTCCCCCATCGTCCCCCCTACCTCCATCTCCCATCCCTCCACCCCCCCATCCCTCCATTCCCCATCCTCCATCCCCCTCAGCATCCCCCCTCTCTCCATCCCCCTCCCTCCGTTCCCAACCCCCTCCAGCCTCACCTGTCCCCTCGAGAGCTGCACCTTGCCTCCATCGCCCATCCCACCTTCTCACTCTCCTCTCACACATAACCTGGACACCCTTACACACACACACGCTCATCTGCCCTCTCCCTCCATCTCTCACCCCTCTCTGTGCCCTCTCCCTCCATCTCTCACCCCTCTCTGTGCCCTCTCCCTCCATCTCTCACCCCTCTCTGTGCCCTCTCCCTCCATCTCTCACCCCTCTCTGTGCTCTCTCCCTCCATCTCTCACCCCTCTCTGTGCTCTCTCCCTCCATCTCTCACCCCTCTCTGTGCCCACTCCCTCCATCTCTCACCCCTTTCTTTGCCCTCTCCCTCCATCTCTCACCCCTCTCTGTGCCCTCTCCCTCCATCTCTCACCCCTCTTTGTACCCTCTCCCTCCATCTCTCACCCCTCTCTGTGCCCTCTCCCTCCATCTCTCACCCCTCTCTGTGCCCTCTCTCTCCATCTCTCACCCCTCTCTGTGCCCTCTCCGTCCATCTCTCACCCCTTTCTTTGCCCTCTCCCTCCATCTCTCACCCCTCTCTGTGCCCTCTCCCTCCATCTCTCACCCCTTTCTGTGCCCTCTCCCTCCATCTCTCACCCCTTTCTGTGCCCTCTCCCTCCATCTCTCACCGCTCTCTGCACTGCACACAGTAGCACATGTTGCGCTTGCCTGTATTACAGGTGACTAATCCTCCCCGAGTCAAGGTTATCAGTGTATGACGTCACTCCCCAGGGTGTTGCTGCCGGCTCCCCTATGCTTCTCTCCCTCACAGTCGCCCCAAACCCCAACGGTGGGTGCTTGCAATACGAGCAGCAAGCTGTCAGTCCCTATTCCGAAGGCTACAAGTCCTCCTCGGATCCAGGCTATCCGTGCATGACGACTCCCCTCAGGGTGTTGCTGCCGGCTTTACTCTCCTGCTCTCCCTCACTGTGGCTCCCAACCCTGATGGTGAGTTCTCTTATCGCATGGATGAAGAACAAGCACAGTAATCCCAATGGTGGCTGCAAGCCGAAAGGTCACTTCTAGTCACATATAAAGCCAAACTGTTCGACTCAAACGATTTTCCCCCTGCAGCTCTCCCCTTTCAGTCTCCTTCCAGGAATCTGAGCCCTCTTTTCTGGATCTTATTTCCCCCTTGCCTTTCTCCCCCTGCCATTTCTCTCCACTCTCTCTCTCCTACCCCCACTCCCTTCTGGCCCTCCCCTGTTCCTCCTAGGCATCTGTGCCCTGAGCCCACTCTCTCTTCGCCCCCTCTCCCCCTCCTCCTCCTGCTTCTGTGCCATCCCTGCTGCTGCTCCTCGCCCCTCCCTCCTCTCCCTCACCTCGCTAACCTCTTCCGAGAGCCAGGTGGATGGGAGGCAGACGGATGGGAACCGAGTGGGTAGGCGAGGCAAGGTTGAGGAATGAGAAAGAGAGGAGAGAAGAGAAGAGAGGAGGGAGGAGAGAAGGGGCAAGGGAGAGTGCAAGAGGAGCCGCGGGCTGAGAGGAGCGGAGGTCGTGAGGAGATTAGGAGGGGAGACGCGGTGGGTGAGGATAAGGAAGAGGAGGGAGACACGGAAGAGGTGTGGAAGGACAGACACACGGAAGAAGAGAAGGTACCGGGGTTGAAAGAAGGGGACGTGAAGGGAGGGGAGGAGATGGGGAAACAAGAAGGCGGCACCGCTTACGTAGGCATGATGGGATGCAGCAGGCAAGGCATGGACGTTCCTGAAAATCTCAACAACAGGTGGGCACTGCAGAATGAAGGCGAGCTCAGCCATTCATTGGCGTGGATGTGTGCAGGTGAGGCACTGAGCGGACGACTTGCCACGAATTAGCTGCCACCAAACACCAGCGCTGTGCGCCATGCTGTGCGCCATGCTGTGCGCCATGCTGTGCGCCATGCTGTACGCCATGCTGTGCGCCATGCTGTGCGCCATGCTGTGCGCCATGCTGTGCGCCATGCTGTGCGCCATGCTGTGCGCCATGCTGTGCGCCATGCTATGCGCCATGCTTTGCGCCATGCTGTGCGCCATGCTGTGCGCCATGCTGTGCGCCATGCTGTGCGCCATGCTGTGCGCCATGCTGTGCGCCATGCTGTGCGCCATGCTGTACGCCATGCTGTGCGCCATGCTGTGCGCCATGCTGTGCGCCATGCCGTGTGCCATGCTGTGCGATCTCATCTCATGTTCCTGAGAGCGCTGCCTCGAGCTTCATGTTCACCAGAGACGACTTTGGAGGTGCTCAAGAGAGACTCTTTTCAAACCCCCCCAGGAGTTGCCCTCGGGATCTCATTTTCTCTGCCCTCTTCACCTGCAGCTGCCCAGCAACCTTTGCTGCACCCTTGACCTCCCTCACACCCCTGACCTCCCTCACACCCCTGACCTCCCTCACACCCTCGACCTCCCTCACACCCTCGACCTCCCTCACACCTCTGACCTCACACCCTTGACATCCCTCACACTTCTGATCTCACACCCTTGACCTCCCTCACACCCGAGCTGCTGGATGCATGCCATTGCCACGTACCCCCTCCCCTCTCCACGCCGCTCCTCCCCCCCCCCCCCCCCCCCCCCGTGCACGTCCACTCTTACATGGGTGTAGGGTCTGACTGGGATGTGCAGGGTCCTTGCTGCGCCGGGTCCTTGCTCCCCTCTTCTCCCCTTTACTCTCCATATCACCCCTCCCCCTTCCCATCCCCCTCCCCATCCCCATCCCCTTGGGCAGGTAAGGGGAGGAAGGTGCGGGGTGTGATGGAAGGAGAAAGGAGGGGTAAGGGGGTCGTGCGCATGTGTGGAAGAGTTGCCTGGAAGAGTTGCCTGGGACAGGCAGGGAGAGAAGGGGAGTGCATGGGGGCGAGAGGGTCAAGTGTGTGGTGGGGCGTAGAGGAGGTGCCTGGGCCAGGTGAGGGAAAGAGGGGAGTTGGGAGCGAGTGGGGGAAGATGATGGTGCACACATGCATGGAGACTGGCAGCGGCAGTGGGGAGAGCAGCGGGGCACAGGCGGTGCGCAGTGGGAGGAGGAGCTGGTGAGGGGGGTGGGAGTGAAGGTTGTGATGGGAGGTAAAAGCATGAGGAAGGGAAACGGCAGCGGGACGCGTGCGGGGTGGTAGGGGGTGAGGGTACTTACTCACCCCACTTGCTCACCTCTTTCTCTGTTTTGATTCAACAAGATGTGCTGGCGCATTGCCCTCACACTCTGCTCACCTCTCGTCTTGAATGTCCTGCGCTGTAATAAGTCCCGTGGCAATTCCGGACGAGAATGGAGCCGTGCTTAATCTGCATCTACCTCACGTGTACCTCACCTCTTCTCCACGCAGTGCATTGGTCTCATCCTCGCGACGCCTGCTTGCCTTGCATCATGCACTCTCTCCATGCACTGCATTGCCCTTACCCACTCTCTCTTTGCACTCAATACGCTCACCCACTCTCTCTTTGCACTCAATACGCTCACCCACTCTCTCTTTGCACTCAATGCGCTCACCCACTCTCTCTTTGCAGCGTGCTCACCTCGTACCTCTCGCCCATCTCCCACACACTCACAAGCCACACAGCCTGCTGAAGAGCGTTCTGGCAGAGGCAGTCATTGCAGGAGGGGCAGGCGGAGCATGCTTACAATGGCCAACATTACACGCCGTGCTTACCTGATGGCTCTTGCCTGGGCAAGGTAAATGCAGATGAGGGGAGATGAATCAGGTAAGTACATTCTGCAGAGGAGAGGAGATGCAAGGCGCAACGGACCAGGCACAAGGGACCAGGCACAAGAAAGAAGGCGTAAGGGAGCAGACGCAAGGCAGCAGGTGCGAAGGACAAGGCGCAAGGGAGCGGCAGACGTGTCTGTAAATTGCGTAATTTTACCCGTGATGGTTAAACTTGTGAAGTGAGTTTGTAGCGTTTGTGGAGAAATCAGTCAGAATTGTTTCGAAATTGTGCTTGTAAGATTCATTCAAATGTATAATCTCGACTGTTGGCTTCTTGCAGCCTTATTTCAGCTTGTCAGCTCCGAGGTTTTGGCGTCAGCTGGTTCGGCCTACTTCCGCACCCCGAACCAATTACCGTCAGCCCCCGGATAGAAGCGCCCCTAGGGGTATTAAAAAACACTTTTTTAGGGGGTGCGCTTATAATCGAGGATTTTTATAAGCGCCGGTGCTTATATAATGACATTTATGAAATGCGTATTTCTTACACCAAATTGTAGATCACGTTCTTGCAATTTGAATCGAGTCTAAACTATACAGGGCTGGAATTGAGAATCTCGCCAGTTGGCAGGGAATGATTCCCTGCCAACACACACAGTCATAATAAGTCAACTTACGCTGCCGACAGCTCATTCTGACTAGACGCGCAGGCAATGAGCCGAGCGAGGTGAAGGGCATCAAAATTCAATGTGGGAATGGAAAATGCGAGTTTCATTACAACGATGTCAGTACAATCATAGCAAAAACAAACAGAGGGCGGCGCTTATAATCCGTAAGCCTTCAGGGGTGGGCTTATAATCGAGGACCGGATATAAGCGCCGTCATCCTTTTATAAGCGCCGGCGCTTATCCGAGGCCTGCGCTTATATCCGGGGGCTTACGGTATGAGTCGCCTCCGCACCTTTCACCAACTTCCGAGCCTAGTTTTTCCCAAGGTTCTCACCAAGCTCGTCACTGCCTATTTCCCTCGCTTACACACTCAAAGGGCATTCTCGGGCAAAGTTCGGAAGGCGTTAAAAAGGCGTTAAATATCAGGCTCGGGGACCAGCTACAGTGAAACGATAAGCGAACGATCGGTTATCAAGGTTAGAGATACGGGGTTTGATGCCGAACCTGAGGGCGTTAAAATGCCTGCCGAACGCTTCTTTTAGCGTTTCTCGCAAAACGTTGGTTCCTGGAAATCACCTCCACAGGCAAATGGACGGACCACTGATCCGCGCCCTGGTGCCTCATCGAGAGGTTGCACCATGTGGCGGATTGGTGATGCGGCCAATCATATGCGACTGCTCCAAAATGCAGACCAATCATGTGATAGCACAAAGGTGCTGCGCACCTTCCATGAAGTTTACGCCATGTCCGTGCCGTTGTTTCAACACCCTTAACGCCAGCCGAACAGGGGCCACCTGATTTTCCGAATTTGCACCGCATGCGCAGGCTGACTTGGACGCACTTCTTCCCATTCCCGAGCCTGCGTCTAAACCAGCGGCGGGTTTATAAATGCTTAACGCCCATAACTCCTGCCGAACAGGGCCCTTCTGCACTTTCCTTTTTGTACGAACCTCACATTCGTATTCGGGCGTGTTGCCAGAAGTGAGCACGATGCCCAACAGCATGGCGTCAGTGACGCCCCACGACGACGAGAGAGCAGCAAATTGTAACGGTCGCAACGATACCGGTCGAAACGATAGCGGTCGCAACGATAGCGGTCGCGTCGAAGTGACAGACAGAGCAACGAGAGCTCTTCGCGATGGCGGAGAGCCGCGACAGCAGTGGCGCGAGGTGCAACCCTGACATTCGTTGAGACACTTCATAATAAGGTGACGATACCAAATAAGCAGTCGAAGAAAATTTGGAGCGTTAGGTTGTGGCGCAAACGCTACTGCATCAGAGCGACAGACAGGCAACGACACAGCGCGATGTACGGCGATGAGAGAGCGACGGATTGCGACGCGCAAGCGCCGATGGACCGCGACAGATAACGACGGTATGCGACGAGAGAGCGCCCGTCGACGGCGGGAAAACGGCACTAGATGACGATAAAGCGACAAAACTGTTTTGCGATGGCGGAGAGCCGTGGCAGCAGAAGCGGCGATGGCGGGTGGGGCAAGCACGCGCGCAGGTGGGGCTCCCGGCGCCGGCGGCGGCAGCGGCAGACACAGTGGCAGTGGCGGAGGCAGCAGCGTCACTACGAGCAGCACAGGCCGGAGAAGCAGCGGCGGCGGCATGAAGAGGGGACGGAAGCCCGCGCTGGTCGCGCTTCGCATCCTTAAAACAGTCACTAAGCTGTTTTGGCAGAGTAGTAGTAGTAGGAAGTGCTCTTATGAGAATTTCAGAAAGATAGTAGCAAGATAGCTTTACAAGAGATCATATGATGGCTTACATTTCAGAGGTACATCCTAATATACTAGGATACTAGCTATGGCGCCTCGAGCAGGTCGCTCAGGTCGCCTTTCATATTCCTAGAGCTAGGAACAGCAAGGCATAGCATTTATTATTATGTACATAGCTTCCTAGCCTTGTTGTCTAGTCCTAGAACCAATCAGCAAAGTCTAGGAAAACGCTAATGTAATGGGCAGAGATTTCTCTGTCTTGTTGTCTTCCAGGTCGTCATTGATCATGATGAGTACGAGCACCGCTGGAAGGAGTCATAGCTGTAGGGTCTTGTGCTGTCGAGTAATCAGCTGCGCTGTAGGTAGTTCTCTGCCCCGTTGTGTCCAGCAATAGTGTGCTCTCTGAAACTCAGAAAGTCGGGTCATACATTTCAATGTTGGAGTTCCAACATTGAATTCCCGAAATGCACTTAGGGTGTGTTCCGAATTCTGGTTCGGATCACAAGGAGCTGAGTTGGCGAAATCGAGGAAGGCGAGATCGCCTTCGTCTTGTTACAATCCTCCCTGCCGCCGCCGCCGCCGCCCCCGCTGCTGGCGCCACCGTCACCGCCGCAATCACCACCGGCGCCAATGCTACCGCCACAATCCCCGCTGCGCGCGCCCAACCGCCGCCTCCGCGAGAATCGCTGAAATTGGTTTGCGCGCCATGGGAACGGAGAGTGCAGATGGGGGAAGGGGAGGCGATGCAGGGAGGGGAAGCGCAGGGAGGGCAAGGGGGTTTCTGGCGCGCGTGGCTTGGGTTTGGCGGAAACGAGGCGAGGAGTGGGAGAAGGCGGGGCAGCGGGTGGAGCAGGAGGGCGGAGGATAGGAGAAGGGCAGGCGGAGCGGAGGGGTGGGGAAGGGCGGGAATGAGGGGTCAAGGGAGAGCGCGAGCAAGGGGCTTGAGGGGGGGCGAGAGAGGGGGAGCGACTGGGGGACCGAAAGGGGCCGCAAGGGAGGGTGGGAGGGAGGACGGGTGCAGGTGAAGGTGAACCCAGCAACATCGGAGAAAGTGGAGGGACGAGTGGGATGGCGTGGGTGCAGATGAAGCCAGGAACGTGGGAGAGCATGGGTGCAAGTGAGGTGGGGGAAGGAGAGGCAGACACCGAAGCAAAAGCGAGTGAGGCGCTTGAAATGCACGATGGTGCTGGTGAGACAGAAACAGGGGTGAGGAAGATGGGGAAGACTTCCTTATCCCCCCCATAAGGGATGGGTAAGTGCGTGGAAGTAGACATGAGCAAAAATTCGAACCCCTGTTCGGTTCGACTCGAAAGTGTTCGACTCGAACGTGTTCGAATGGTTTTTTTGCCCAAAATTGTTCGTGACGAACACCAAGGTGTTCGTGACGAACACGTTCGACTGTTCGAGTGTTCCGGTGTAGAACACCTTGCCTCAAAACTGTTCGACCTTGCCTCAAAACTGTTCGACCATGCCTCAAAACTGTTCGATCTTGCCTCAAAACTGTTCGACCTTGCCTCAAAACTGTTCGGCCTTGCCTCAAAACTGTTCGGCCTTGCCTCAAAACTGTTCGACCCTATTCTCGAACGGGGAACACTAACATTTAGGAAAACTGTTCGAGTCAAACGTGTTTGGTTCGGTTCGAATTGACCAAGTGTTCGCAAATTGTTCGAGACAAACGTGTTCGATTCGCTCGTTGCTCATGTCTACGTGGAAGGGTTGGGTCAGAGGATGATGAGATGGAGGGAAGGGGGAGGAGGGGAGGGCTGCGTGAGAAGGAGAAGTGGAGTGCAGAGGAGAGGCGAAGGAGGAGGGGCAGTGAGTGGACGGGAAACGAATGGGTTGGCGAAGGCGATTGGGTGAGGAGAAGAGTGGCGAGGTGAAGGGAAGGAAGGAGGAGGGAGGGGAGGAAATCAAAGGGAGGAGAGAGGGGACGAGAAGGAAGGGGAGGAGAAGGGAGGGGAAGGGAAGCAAGGCAAGAATGCAGCGACGTGAAATAACAAACTCAGCCAATCAATTACATTGCAGCACGTGAGGCGAGGAGTATTTGAGTTGACCCGAAAACACGCTGCGAAGCAAAGGCGGTCTCAAGGGACTGCTGAGGCAAGGAGACAAGTCAAGCAGCAGGTGAGGCATGGGGTTCTTCTCGCAACCACCTGGATGGCTTTCTACCCAACAACACCACCTTAAGATGGCAAAACAAAGGTGGTCTGAAACATTCATTGGCGACAAGGCAAGCAGCAGCAGGTGAGGCATGGAGTTGACCTCCAGAATGAGCGAGCTAGTTTCTAGAATTATGAAGATACAGCCGTGCGCCCCATGCACATTGCCGTGGCAATCCCATGTTTCATAGCAAAGAGCAGAGCACACACATGCATGTCCAGCCCCTGCCTCAAACCACCCAGGTATGTGCAGCAGGTGGCACTGCGGCTGTCACCCCTGGAGCTGAACACGCTATGCTGGCACCACAAACTTCGCTCCCTCTGTCCATCACATACCCCCTTCCTTCTCGGCCCCACTTCACCTCCGGCAAGCCCAGGCACCTCTGCTCAGAAACCCCCCGGAACTCCCATCCCATTGGAACATGGAGCAACGCAGTGGCATGTGTTGGCAAGGCTCAAACCACCCAGGTAGGTTCGTCCAGCACCTGGCACTGCGGTGGTCACCCCTGGAGCCACGAACTTCACAAGACGCTGGCACCACAAACTTCAGTCCCTCTTTCCATCACATACCCCCTTCCTTCTCCACCCCACCTCACCTCTGTCCAGGCCCAGGCACCTCTGACCACCAGGTGGTCACCCGGGAGCTCAACACACTCGTGCCTGCACTGCTGCTCTATCCCTCCCCCTCCACAACACCCCTCTTCCTTCCCCCGACCACCCCACTCAGCCCCCTCACTCTCCCATCTCATTGCAGCAGGGAGCGATGCATGGTGGCGAGTGCTAGCGGGCTTGAAGGATGTTCCTCCTTCTGCCTCCTCAGCACCCCTCCCCCCTCCCCATCCCTTTCCCGGGCCCCTCTGTTCAGCAAACCCCCCAAACTCCTGTCTCATTGGAGCATGGAGCAACGCAGTGGCATGTGTTGGCAAGGCTGAAGAAGGTGGGGTAGGCAGGCAAGGCGTAAGTAGATACCCTCTCTCTCCTCCCTTCCTCCTTCCCCACGCCGCGCACAGGGAGCTATGCAGCACCTTGTGCTAACGGGGCTGAAGAAGATCTATTCTCTCTCCTCCCCTCCCCATCCCCCCTCCCTCGTAGCCACCCCATTGCACAGGGTGGATGAGGTGGCATGTGCTAGAGGGGTTGAAGGAGGTGGGGTAGGCAGGCAAGGCTGAAGGATATTCTCTTTCTTTCTCATCTCCCCCACTCCCTTCCCACTTAAACTGCCCACGCACAGGGAGCAATGAGGCGGCGTGTGCTGGCATGGTTGAAGGAGGTGGGGCAGGCAGTGCTAGGCTGAGCTGAAGGAGTTTCCCTCTTTTCTCCTCCCTCTCTCCTCCCTCCCTCCTTCTGGGCGATGAGGCGCCATTTTCTGGCGGCCTGAAGGAGTTGGGGCAGGCTGTGTGGGGCTGATGAACATTCTCGCCTCCCCCTCCCAACACCACCCCATGCCCTTCCTCCTCCCCATCCTCCTTCCCCTCCCCACTCCCCATCCTCCTCCCGCTTTCCCATGGGAGCACGTGCGATGAGGAGGCGTGTGCTGGCAGGGCTGAAGGAGGTGGGGCAGGCGGTGCGCAGTGGGAGGGCCAAGTGTGTGGTGCTGGCACCTAACGTGGAGGAGGTGCCTGGGGCAGGTGAGGAGATGGAGAGAGTGGCGGGTGAATAAGGGGTGATGGTAAGGGGTGTGATAATGGTGAGTAGTGCAGGTCAAAGTGAGTGCAGTCAAAGTGAGTGCAGTCAAAGTGAGTGCAGTCAAAGTGCAGGCTTTCAGGTGAGTGCAGGCTCGGGCTCAGGTGGCTAGATTCTCATCCCATTCAGTCTCGCCTTGCCAGGCTTTGACTCACAAGCGATGTTGCAGAAGTGCCGTGCCTATTCTGGGCGACAATGGGGCCGTGCAGCAGATAAATGCTTAGAAGGGCCCGGGCTGTGAGTTGTGCTTGCATTGCCCTGACCCTCACACTGAAGGGGTGTACACAGGCACAATTTTCTAATGTGTCATTGGAGTCGACTCAAAAGTGCCCTCACCATACATCAACGGAGCGCACAACCTGGCAGAGGCAATTCTGGCAGGAGGGGGGGGGGAATGAGGGGTTGATAGCTGTGCTGCCTTGTGTTCACCGCATGCATCTCTCACACATTCTCAAGGCACACAGCCTCCCGAGGACTGTTTTGGCAGAGGCAATTATGGCAGGATGGGGGGGGTGCAACAAGTAGTAGAGCATGGAGAGTGGGGATGGGCATGGGAGAGGGGGCAGAGATGGCGTGTAAAACAGACAACATCCTGAATCGTGCCATGTGCGTTTTGGGAATGCGCCAGGTCCCGACGGGTTTCATCTTGCGAGGGGGCCAGTCTCCTGGCCCGTCGGTCGCGGGACCGATGTGGATGTGGAGATGATCCGCACGGCAAGGGACACATGGCAGGGGAGGTGGGTGAGCTGGGCTAGACGGTGCTCTGGGTCATGCCGTGCGGACCACGAGAATGTTAAGAAACCACTCGCGACATGGTTCTAGGGGGGCTGGGGGGAAATGACGGTTGTTTTTTAAATGTTGGGATGCAAGCAAGCATCAGTCAGTCCCACCAGATGGTACTGCTGTGCAACAACTGCTATTGCTGCCACGCTCCCACCACCATCTCACTCCCAGCGTTGCCTCTGCCATGCAAGAAAAGCATCTCGGTGCAGAAAAAGGTCCAGGCAGCCATGCTGCAGGCAAGACCTGCGGCAGTCAAATGCAGAGTCCCGCCACAAGGGAGAATCTTTAACATCCCAATGGTGGCACTTCGGGTTGTGTTGTACAGTATGCTCTTTGTACAGTGTAAAAACTCAATGTACATGTAAATTTCGTGATTTCCCTGCGCGAGCTACTCTCGTACGCGTTGTAGCGCATGTATGATTACCGAAGATGACCTATATAATTTCATTGAGGTTATATTTAATTTATTCCTAAAAGTAGGCTTCTGTTGTGGTAGTGTAAAGAAATGTAGTTCGTTACTGTGAGGTTATTTTAGAGAGTATATTTGCGAAGAGCGCGTGACTGCTGGTTCGGCCTAAAAAATCGTCCCGAACCAGCAACGAACTGTTGAACAATCACTGGGCATTCAGTAGCATTCTCAGCTCTCGCTTTTCAGTGCATTTCAGTTCATCTGTGAAACACAAACCACTCATAACGAATCACTTGTTTTGTGTCTTCCCAAATTGCGCCAGGCCACCATTCCGCTGAACAGGGGCCGCTGGCTAGAAGGCTGGAGACACAGGAGCCGCTTTTAGGAAGTGAGAGCTTGGAGGGCAACACTGGGGTGCCAGATAATGGCTCGATAGCGGTCGCGTCAAAGCGACAGACAAGGCAACGAAAGCGCGTTAGACTGTGCGACAGTAGACAACGAGAGCGGTAGAATCCGATTTACGATGGTGGAGAGCCGCGGCAGCAGAGGTGTGAGAAGCAGCGGTAATGGCGGGTGGAGCAAGCACGGGCATGCAGGCGGGTCTGGCGGCGGCAGCGGCGGAGACAGCGTCGCTGCGAGCAGCAAAGAGGTGGTGGAAGCCCGCGCAGGTCGCGCTGCGCCTGGTTTTTGAGAATTCTAAAAAAGCAGGTCGCACTGCGCCTGGATCACTTCCTCTCCGCCGCCACCTCCGCTGCGCGCGCGCCTCTACCGCCGCCTCCGCGAGAGTCCGCAGAAGTCGGTTGGTGCGCATAGGGGAGGGGGAGCACAGTGGGGGGCAGCAGTGATGGGCGGCCTCGCAGAGGGGGAAGGGGAGGTGGATCGAGGAGGGGAGGCGCGAAGAGGGGAGGGGGAAGGGGGAAGGGGGAATACTGGCGCGGGAATACCGGCGCGAGGGGGAATACAGGAATAGTGGTTTGGGCTTGGCAGAAACGAGGCTAGGGGTGGGAAAAGGGGGAGCAGAGGGCAGTGTCAAACTTATATGCTATAGTCTATCTAGGCTGTAGTGGGGTAGTTCATAAAGGGTACAACACTTTTAGGTTTCCTACTTGTACCCACCTGCTTGCTAGTTCACCCATTCATTCGCTCAATATTCTAACATGGTATTCTGAGCAGGTTCCCTCGTGGGAACGTTTTTTTAGGGCCCACCACGAAAATTTTTCCTGCCCTGCCCGAAGCGCGCCTCGCGCCTGCCTCACCTGCGCCGTCGCGCGCCCTACCCTAGTACGGCCCGTCGAGGCCCTGCCTTGCTGGCCCGTCGTGGCCCTGTAGTCGCCACCCGTCGCTAGCCCGTGCCGGCCCGTCCCGGCTCGTCGCCGCCCGTCGCTGGCCTGTCGCCACGCGTCGCGGCCCTACCTTAGCCGCCCACTGCGGCCTTGCCCTGCCTTTCGCCGCCCGTCGCTGGCCCGTCCCGGCCCGTCCCGGCCCGTCGCCGGCCCGTCCCGGCCCAATGCCGCCCGTCGCCGGCCCGTCGCCGCCTGTCGCTGGCCTATCCCAGCTCGGCACGGCCCCTGCCTTCGCCGCCCGTAGCGGCCCTGCCCTACAGCCACTCTGTCGCGGCCCTGCCCTGCTGCCGCCCCAGTCGCGGCCCTGCCTTTGCCGCCCGTTGCGGCCCTGCCCTACTGGCGCCCCAGTCGCGGCCCTGCCCTGCTGCCGCCCCAGTCGCGGCCTCTGCCCTGCAGCCGCCCTTTCGCGGCCTCTGCCCTGCAGCCGCCCTGTCGCGGCCCTGCCTTGCTGCCGCCCCTGTCGCGGCCCTGCCCTGCTGCCGCCCCGGTCGCGGCCCTGACCTAAACCGCCAGCTGCAGCCCTGCCCTTTCTTTGAGGGGTGTTCTCCTGTCCCCCTTCTCCCCAAGACTGCTAAGTCTTTGTACGACGCTGTAGTAGCGCGCTACTCCTCCCCTGCCATTGCTGACCTCAGCCGCCTCATGCTGCTGTCAGAGGTCCACTGGTGATCCCCGATTGATCCTAGGGAAGGGTTACAGGCTCGTTGTCCTGGGGGGTTATGGGCGCACTGACCCGCTACTTAACAAGCCCTTTTATCCCAATGGTCTAGTGGTTGGGATTCTGTCATGGTATCAGAGCGATCTCGGGTTCGAATCCCAGTGTGTGCACTTCGGGCATTCCAGTGCGGGGGGGTGTCAGAGGTCCACTGGTGATCCCCGATTGATCCTAGGGAAGGGTTACAGGCTCGTTGTCCTGGGGGGTTATGGGCGCACTGACCCGCTACTTAACAAGCCCTTTTATCCCAATGGTCTAGTGGTTGGGATTCTGACAGCTGCCGTACCGTTTCCCTGACCTTGCCGCCTTTGCCACAGTCGCTGACCTCATTACTCACCTCCGCACTAGTGACGCCCGCTACCGCGCTGCGCTTCCCACTGAGTCTGTGCCAAGAACCCCCCCCCCCATGTACATCACCCTTTACTATCTAGTCACCCGCCTCCCTGACTCCCTTGCTTCTGTCAGGGACCACTTTCTCTCCCTTTGCCCCACCGAGCTCACTGTCGACCTGCTAGAGGAGCGCCTCGCTGCGGCTGAGAAGAGTATCTTAGCTGTAGGTGCTTCTCGCGGCGACCGTCGCACCCCTTTCTTTGAGGGGTGTTCCCCTGTCCCCCTTCTCCCCTCTGTTGCTTCTGCTGCTGCTGTCGACCTCGTTGGCACTGAGGAGGTCGGGGCTGCGTCTGCTCCTAGTGGGAGGCGCCGCAACAGCAATGGCAGGGGGAGTAAGGGTGGTGGAGGGGACGGCGGGGGCGGCGGTGGAGGCGGTGGAGGAGGCGGAGGGGGTGGCGGTGGAGGTGGGGGTGGTGTCGGGAGTGGGGGCTTCAGTGGCGGCGGTGGAGGTGGTGGAGGCAGCGGCAGCGGTGGTGGAGGCAGCGGCAGCGGTGGTGGAGGTGGCGGCGGCGGTGGTGCTGGTCGAGGTACAGCCGCGCAGCATGGAGGCTTTGGTGGTAGCCAGCGCCAACAGCAGCCGCGTTCCCGTGAGACCCCGTCGGCCCAGCAACTTCGTGAGTGGTATGCTGGGCGTGGGAGGTCTGGGGGTGTTGGTCCCTGCACTTACGTTCTTCGCACCGGCGGGCGTCGTGGGGAGACCTGCGGGCTGCCACACACTGCGCAGCGCTGCTTCGGTCGCCTGACTGGCACCTGGTGCGCCCAGTTTCCTTACGCTGTTGAGCTCCCTCGCTGGGGTGATCTGCTTAGGCAGAATGTTGCTATCTTTGATCTTGATTTCGATGCTATCCTTGCTGCCATGTATGCTATGACTGATAGTGCTGAGGGTGACTGTTACCTGAGTGTTCCGCCCGACCCGGACATTGAGGCTGCTGCTCTAGGTGCTAGTGCGTCTGCTGCTCCAGGTACTAGTGAGTCTGCTGCTCCAGGTGCTGGTGAGTCTGCTCTCTCTGGTACTGCACCTACTGAGGCCTTGCACACTTTCACACTTGACTCTGGTGCTTCGCGCTCTTTCTTTCGCGACAGCACCACACTCACGCCGCTCAGTCGGCCTGTCGCAGTCTCCCTGGCTGACCCCTCTGGGGGCCCAGTCCTTGCGCACTCCTCCACGGTTCTACCGTGTCCTGCGGCCCCGTCGGGCTTGCTGTCGGGACTCCACCTACCCTCGTTCTCTTCGAACTTGGTGAGTGGAGCTTACCTCCAGGACGCGTGGGTTGACCAGTTCACCCTTGGAGGTCAGCGTGTGACCCACTGCACTTGCTCTCGGACGGGCCGCCACCTGG